GCTATTAGTCATGTCGTCGTGCTAGTTAACTGATCTTCCATTTTAGGATATGCTTGCGTGGGGCGGACCCACACACATGCCAAGCTCGATAATTTATACTGAGACTCGCATGATGAATTCTGAGCAACTCAAGGATAATTAAGATTATGGCTTACCTGTCAGGTAACGGGATAAAGTCCCTATTGATTTGAATTTGAATTTGATGTCTTTTATGTGACAGGAAGAATCTAACATATATTTAGACGTGACACGGGAAGAAGGGCTCTGAGAGCTCATTGTTACCTACATGACCGACCATGAAGATTGAAGCGACAAAATAATAGAGAAAAGGTGCAGTAAATGTCTGAATTACTGTGCCCTGCGCCGCATCCCTATCCTCCAAAACTCGTATCCTTTCTAGTTAGAAACAATTTTGGCATGATCGTCTCCCATCCTGTTCATTATTCGGCAGACAGTGATATCTGCTTGTGGTTAAGAATTGGAAGAACTTTTGCCATTCCTTCTCTCCTATCATTTCCCTGGCCCCTGGTGTCAGATAACTGGGAGCCTGACCTGCGACAGGCGAAGTGTACGTAAATAAAGTAAAAGATAACTCAGTAAAAACAACTTGATTCCTATTTGTCCCGGAATTCTAGGATTATATACACTGATCATGATTGACTTGATCTCTTGATCTCTAAATATAGATATGCGCTAGGAATAGAATAAGCTGCAGTTCTAAGTACAGAATGTAAGCACTGACCGAAACAAACAACCCACGTACGTATGGACAGTCCCTATTTGTGACCCGAAACATTTTCCTGTCCAACTTCTTCGGTAGTTATTCTTAGCCGTCGACATCCGGTCGGGCCATTTTCTCACAGCTTCTCTAACGTTGCAAAGCAGGTTGGCACTCTGAAAAATGCCAAGGCCTTTTCTCTCGACCGCAAACGCATTTCAAATCTTCATGTTTGGGGTTGAAACGTCCGTTGTAATCGGCGTAGTCCTCGTGGACTGTTCTTGCCGCAATAAGACGGTGGTACGCCTATCTCAGTAGAGCCAGTTCCGGTGGTCTTTTGCAACGCATGAAGAGGTCCAGATCTTTGTGTCGCCTCGTTCGGTACGTCTGCCACCACTCTTCCACGAGCTCTTGCCCACGCTGTTTAACCCAGCTCCCTAATGCCGCAAAGGTTAGATTTTGATCTTCTCCACTGGGCGTAGCCGAGGTTAGTGACCGGTTGTTGATAGCTCCCATGGCTGTATGCTTCCAAACCTGGCTTCATTTTCTCGATTACATGTAGTCGATGCTGGGGTGCAAGGTGGGAAGTATAGCTTTCCAGGGCCTTCGGCTGTCGGAACTTGACTCACACTTATTTGCAGGAGTGTCATGTACCGTTCTGGCTGTCTGAATAGGCGATCTCTTTGTCCAGATCTAAGACCTGAGCGTCTTATTGTCTCTTTTATGTCCTCAGCCGCCCAAAGGGCCAGAGGGTGCCAGACATCCATTCTTCGCATACGAGCTGTAGACCGCAGCATCTTTTGCTGGAGAATTATCGATGCCGGGGGTATTCCCACTTCACGATGGAGAGCGCTATTGGGAGTGCTTTTCGAAAAGCTTTCATTATCGTTTTTTCCAGTAGAGATATATGCCAGCCTACTCCAGTGCCGACTTCTCTATCTCGCAGTGAGGTTATTCGAATAAGACCAGGCCACCACGCTTCTGTGCTAAGGTTATGAATTTAATGGTAACATAGTTACTTGTCACTTGTAACAAATCCTGCTTAAAATGGTGAGGAGTTGGGTAGTTGATTGCTAGTAAAGTCCAATACTTTTCCGATGTAGTTCATGAGTCAGAACATAGACTAAATATATACTCCAATATGACCCATGTTATTGTCTACGTTCTCTCTCGTGACTCACTGCCAACAGCGTGCCTAGGTAAAACTCTGCAGCTTATAAGTCCATATCTCATGAGATGTTTCCGCTGTCCCAGTAGCCAGCGTGCGCAGTCAGAATACGCGCCGTTGCAATGCCTTAATCACCTACTTGTAATATCCCAGCTGAGCGATCCTGAATCCAGCTGTTCAGGAACGACAGTAATATTGAAAGGCTATGCTGAGCTGGAATGACGTACCGTTAGGATGAAGGTATGGAAGGAGGTAGCTATGGCTTTAAGAGAAGTAAAGTTCGTGAGTTATACTCCTAGGACTTGGATCAATGGACGAACTTGAGGATATTCCCTGGTATTCTCAAGTGTGTGAATAATATGGAGATTGTTTGAATTTCCTATTGTATGAATTGCTTGATTATCTACGTGACAGGACCTTCCTCTATATACATGAACAAGGGGGTTCTGCACACTAGTGGATGTTCCAACATCTGTCCTTGTCTAACCGAGAAAGGAAGGATGTGAGAGATCCTAGCGCCAATAGATACCATTAGGAATCTATTGGGAAATACTATGTCATGCCAATGAGTGATGATTTAGGTCAATCATATCCCATGGCGCATGTGCACATTATTCTAATGTGAACAGTTTATTGTAATGCAGTCATGTTACTCCCTTAATTACAACAAGTAATCCAGTCCATGGTTCACGCCTGTGGTTTGTATACACACCACGGTGTCGACTCAGTCATTCCCATATAATGTCTCAGTTTCGCAGTCCTTAGTCCATTACTCAGGAGCGGAAGAAGTTGTATAGTGCTTATCGACTTTTAAACTTGTTGTAGACATTGTATATGTATGTCTGTTATCACAGACATTGGAAATAATTCATGAGATTGCTTAATGACAGGCTAGATTTGATTCCAATATAATTTTGTAGAAGACTTGTCCCAACTATCAGAGGGCTACAACGTCTTTATCTATCTACAGGTAAATTCCCCATATTCCAACCACGCTAGCCATACAGGACGTAGCATGTAAAACCTGATTCATATCATCATTTTGGGGTTGAGGTTTACCGTGCATATGCTACTCGAGTCGCATATCTGACTACTATGCGACACGCTCAGGTATCAATCTAACAACCCACACCAAAACCGAAACTACTCACAACCCTGATGATGACCCCATGAATAATTGGAACAGTTGTCTGCAACATAGCACAATTAGGCTAGACATCGTTGACCAAGACCTAATCCGAGCAAGTACCGACAGCGCGCGAGGTCCGCATACACCTGTGTGCGCCATCCCGTAATTGTCCGTTGACATCTAACCGCTTATAGCTAGCGCACGTGGTCAGTAGACTCTTCACATCGCTGCCCCTTTCATTGCCCTGTCATGAATCAACCCGGCGCTCATGAGTCCACTACTCAGGAGAGCGAGCAGTTGTATCTATGTTCAGCTTACAACTTGCAAATGCACCTGACGGCGCCAAGCCGGTCATTGACCAGCGATATCACAACAAAAAGTCATCCGATGAGTTTCCGGGGCATATCCAGCACCCGATATGGAGATGATGGATTGGATCAGGTCGGCCTCGAATGTTACAAAAAATAGAGATATAGATGAATATATGCACCTCATGTGGTCCCGGTGTCTAGGTCTCGCCTGGCTGGGGCTGCAGGTTTTTTTGAGACTTTTTCCCGCGCACGCTGTTTCCATTTCACCATTTTAATTTTAATTTTTTTTGGATAGAAGGTTCCGTGGAAAAGGTGGACGAATTCCACGGGTAAACACTGAGCTGAATGGATATTCATCACGGGTAATATATCAATGATCTTTCAGGTGACAAAAGAGGCAAAGAGCACTGAAAAAGGTATGGTCTTGGCAAGAGAGGAGCCCAATGGGCTAGATAGTCGAAGACTCAAATAGTACAATAAACATACCTCTCTCTCTCTAGAAATCCACTCTTTGCAATTCTAGCATCCTTCCAACCCTGTCCCGGAGTTTGTGCTGCAATTTTAGAAAAGTCTTGACAGAATGTGATTACTGTGTAGTTGCTTATCCCAACTTCCTTTGTGACGTCTGGGGTACTGGAGAGTGGCGTAGGCTCATTGACAATAGATGTTCTGCTGCTTAATTAGCCGAAACCTTAGTCTTTGCGCCCACAAACATTCCAAACTTGAGAATAACATATCCTATTATGTCCATGTTAGCGACCTTTCCTTCCTCTCACTTTATGTCCCATTCGCCCGTCCCTTATCAAGTTGAAGGGCTCTATTAGAGAAACGGTCCCCGGTATAATATGACCCAAGCTTTAAATCTCACGACCTATCTTACTTCTTGCAAGTACACTTAGCGTCGTAATTTTGTAGAAGAAGATGGCTAATAATTAATTGGGCAAGCTCTCGTTTGCCATGGGAGTAACTAACTGATCGGTCGTTGAGGCAAGGTGGTTTAGCAAGTTTGAGGTAGAGAAATCGAGTGATAATGACAAGACCGATATTGATGAGAAGCCTTCGATAGTAGATATGTCTGTATTTGATTTCAAATTCGATTCCGATGCGTTTTTTTGGCTATTCCAGATATGCAGAGCATACTGAGCGATTACACCGGCACCATTGGAAGTTGAAAAGTTCAGCTTTACCAGCTTGATTTTGATATTGTACATCACTGTCAGGAGTCAATTATTCGCCTCCTAGTCTCTTGGTAAACAGTGGAGACATGGGAGATCAAATTCGTCAGTTCACAGTTTCCGCCGTTTCGCTTACGCGAGCCGATGTCATGCGGCGAGGTAATTGGATTCATTTTCACCATCGAAGGCATGAATAAATGGATGCATTCTTCACAATTGTTGATATCTTTCAGTGTTATAAAAACCAGTGTAGATAATCAAGTTCTAGGAATGTTCGATTCTCAGGGAAACTTTGCAGATATTTAGGAATTTCAATAGTACAACCCGACGATCATTACAGTGCTCATAATAAGCAGTCTCAGAAACATTCCATGGAAAGGTTATAAGAGGTGTACATTAACTTATTAAAGCGTCAGCATATCGGACAAACAGGGAAATCCGATCTCTTCAGTGAATTGAAACCATGCAATGCGTAATAGCATTTCTCTTACTCGCAGCAATGGAATCGAAGAACATGGATCGCTTGATTGTTGCGCAATTTGAGGCGAAGAAGCCTTTATACGGCGTTTATGAACTTCAAACTAGCAGAAATTTTCCCCATCCGAGGCTGATCAATCAACCTGACATAATTTATAATCCCGCAATGAAAGATGGAACACATATTATGTCCTACTGCTCTAATTCACTCAAAAGTCACGAGATAGCAGATAAAATCACTAGTAAGCTGACTAACATAACACCCAGAGCCCATTTTCATTGGAGCGAAAACATTGAGCCAGAAATGGATTGTTGGAAATCACTTAAATTTGTAGACAGCCCAGAAGAGAAGATCGATGACAATATCTTGTCCAAGTTCTCACCAGAAATGGAAAAAAAGCGCACCAACCAGGTAATCTTAAACTTAGCATTTCATGGCATCATTGGAGTAGATGGAGTGAACAGAGAGTACGCCCCTCCCAAGGCCGAACAACCTATCGTTGTCACTTTGGATCAACCAATGGAACTAAGTTCGTTGCTATTAAATGGCGAGTTTATAGAGGGGGAGAAAACAGCCTTTGGGCAGGAGGCGCTTGCTTGGTATCAAGGACATCTACATTTATTTAAACGAAACTGTGAAAGAAATGCTTGGCTGCCCGTCACGACAATAGGATATGAGATTAACAACGGATTGCTGATTGCAAACTTTATTAATGTCAACTTTCCTGAAATAATCAATAACTGGAAAAATTATTATAAAAAATGTGCAAAATATAAAGAAAAATTAAAAAGATTAACTCAAAGTTAAAAAATTAATATTCGGCATAATAATTCGCATTGGATACATAAGCTGTGCGAAAGTCAAAATCACCAGTCTTTTCAATATTAAGATTTGATGGATATTTGCCATGCACAATTCGACACAAAATTTTATGACTCTTACAATGATATTGATCATAATTACAATAATCATAATCATAATCGTTATCATGACAATATTTATAAGACTGCCATAGAATATAGATACACGATAAATGCCGAATTAAAAGAGTTGCTTCCCAGGAGACTAGCCACCTCTCTAGCATTGGGCATCACTATGGCCATGTAAATAAGCAAATATTTTTCCACAAACCTATATTTATTGAGTATGTTAGATCGAAGTTAATTTACTTTCTCTATCATTCAACTCAACATCTACCTGGATGTGGCCGGCGGTATTACTTACAAACATCTAAAAAGAGATACCTCTTAGTTTTCCGTTGCTATACGAATTGTATAGCAGCACTTTTAAAAATTTCACTGCTTATTCCACAAAATTTAATATCTGAAGAGGAATATTATCACACTGAACTCTAGAGAGTTCTTTATGATTGATTACATCTCAAATGAAATCTCATTACTTTTGAGAAACCAGTTTATAGCCTTGCTACTCAAATTTCATTGCAACCTGGACTGTGGGAGAAGGACATTTTGATCACAAAAAACCTAAGACGAGTATGAGCCAGTTTCCCGAGCATAAATCTCCCTAAGCTTGGAGCATTCATTCCTCTTTAACATGGCTCCATCTACTCTTCGCGCCAACAATATGGCACTCCCTCCAGCATTGAAACTTCATGGCATCGCTAACCTGAAAGACTGGATGCTTCTCATTGCAATCGAGCTTACGACAGCCTATTTTCACGAACAAGGTGGCCCTCAAGAAAGATCAAATAGGACAGTTTTAGATCCAATGCGTTGTGTCATATCAGATATGCGTATCCCATTCTCTCTTTGGCCAGAGATATTCCGTGCTGTCATTTACATTCTCAATTGTATCACCACATCGGTCTATGACGATATGACTCCCTACTGTCATAGGCTAGAGCCTAAGGCAGCCAAGGCTTGGGCTTGGGTTACTGATCTGAGCTGTTACCAATCAGGTGACTGTTTAGTCGCTCTATTTTGGTATAGTCTGGTAACAGCACAGACCACCTTTCAATGTATATAAGGAAGACTTTTCCTCTTCCATCTTCTTTCTTTAGTTTAAGATCTTCTATACACAGCACACAGTACAATTCGAATACAATTCTACTTCTAGCCCTTACATCATCTTAAACTCACCTTTCATTGAAATTCATTGACATTGACATAACATCAAGCTATTGTCCGAAGTGATTAATATAAGTATCCCTAAGTTCTTTGACTAGATAATAATAGTACTACTAACTATAAAGTCATTAACATTATTAGCATATTTAGGGATAACATTATAGTTATTTTCTTTTATGCATCATTATAACTTATAACTCATTGTTTTTATAATCTTAATCTACATTAAGCACAGTCTGTATCTTTCCAAATCTACCTCTATCTGTTGTTGTATTGTTATACTGGATCTCTCACAAAATATTTTTGGTGTTTGATTAATTGTACCACTTATCCCCTTTTGTGGCTGCTACCTTTTATTTGTCTACCAATTATTATTTCATTCTAGACTGGTAACTATGTCATCCCCTATGGATAGCACAGGAGAAGACTCTAAGGATGTACAACTTTTGGATTTTTTAGAGCAACTTCAGCAGCAGCTTGAGCAGCAAAGTCAGGAAATAAAAAAACAGAGCAAGATAATACATAACCTCCAACAGCATGCAAATTCTAAGATTCAGGCTCTCAAAGAAGCAAGGCAGTCAAAACCCACTACTTTTGAGCCAACACAAGCAACAATTGGTTTGCCCCAGACTAAAGATACTCAAGAAAAGCTACCAAAACTTGACAAATTTAAAGGAGATAGGACTATGTGGGATGAGTGGCACCTAGGAGCTCTCCACAAGCTTTCAAGAGATGGTTTAGCCCTGGGTTCTCCTTTTGACCAGTTCATGTACATCTACTCACCACTAGATGGTGATGCAATAAAGATGGTCTCAGCAACAGCAAGAACCCTGTCAGAAAATGGAGAAGGCACAGGAGTTGACTTTTTGGAGTATCTTAATACAGTCTTTGGAGATCCCAACAAAAAAGCAAGGGCAGAGAGAGAGCTCTATCAAATGAAACAAAAAGAGAAAGAACCATTTCCAGATTTTCTCACAAAGTTTGAAACAGTGCTAGCAAATGCTGGCTGGTCATCCTATTCTGATCGTCAAAAAATCTCCCTCTTGAAGAATGCCCTCACTAAAGAACTCCAGCTAGTGCTTCTCGGCTCATCAAAAAATACATGGGCAGAATTTGTTTCCTATGTCCATACTATTTACAGTGATAAAGAAGCAATAGACCAAATTAATCCACCCTTCTCTCTGCCAGCAACTAAGATTAGACAGCAAAACTCTTCGGAAAACTCAAACACATCAAAAATGGACTGGGAGCCAACAAAATCTACCTTTATAGCAAATACCCAGGGCCAGAAAAACCAAAGAGCATCATGGGTTACAAAAGATGTACTTGCATTTAGGAAGAAAAAAGGTCTCTGTGTGAGGTGTGGACATAAAGGACATATTGCCCCTAATTGTAACTATCTTCCAACCTTAAAGCCAGCAAACATAAATCTAGCAAAGCTCACTGAGGAAGAAGAGGTGGAATTAGTCAGGATGGCACAGCCCGAAGGATTGAAAGGACGAGAGGGAAAAGAAGAGCTCCTGTACTAAGTCACTTACAGGAGCCAAAAGCTGGGAAGGAACTCTGCAGTAAAAGTAGTCTTTCTAAAGAATGGAATTTATTTAAGCCTAACATTGACTGTGAGCTTTTCCATACTACTGCATTAATCAATGGATCCAACCAGCTGTGCACACTTATTGATCCCGGATTGTCAGCCTTTGCAAGTAACAGTAAAAAACAATTACAAAAATTAAAATTAACCAACTCTCCCATACAGCCAAGAGCTATTACTGGTGTCTTAAGCAACATGACAGCCATAATTAACCAAGTAGCTTGTTTCGAACTAGATATTGGAGGCCTGAAAATCGAAAAGGCCTGGGCTTATGTGATTCCAAACCAAGCAGAGGATCTAATTCTTGGTATGCCCTGGTTAAAATACTGTCATGCTGAATTGGACTCTATAAATTCTAAATTAACATTCAAACATCATGGCTTGACACTTATCAGCAACGAAGAAAGAGAAAAGAGAAATGAGGAACTAGGAGCTCATGCATTTACTGTCAGTCAAGTTATGGCCTCAACTTTCACAGGCCTAGCACAGAGAGCAAGGAAAAGCAAAACAGTGCAGGTGTTTGCCGCCTCACTATCTGACATAGAAAAAGCGCTCAGGCCAAAGATACAGCTTTCTATTAAAGAAATTACCTCTATGCTACCTGACTCTTACAAGTCTTTTGCTCAGGTTTTTAATCCAAAAGAAGCAGCTAGTCCACCACCTCATAGGCTCGGAATTGATCATGAGATACCTTTAGAGAAAGATCAAAATGGAAATGAAAAACCTGTTCCATGGGGACCGCTTTATAACATGAGTCATGATGAACTTCTAGTGCTTCGAAAGGAATTAACTAGCCTACTTGATAAAGATTTTATTCAACAAAGCAAATCATCAGCTGCAGCACCCATTCTTTTTGCAAAGAAGCCTGGAGGTGGCCTAAGATTCTGTGTTGACTACAGAGGAATAAATGCAATTACAAAGAAGGACAGGTACCCTCTTCCTCTGATAAAAGAGACTCTGAATGCTCTGAACTCTGCCAAGTGGCTCACAAAGCTGGATGTGTCAGCTGCTTTTCATAGGATCAGAATGGCTAAAGGTGAAGAATGGAAGACAGCATTTAGGACAAGAAATGGCCTATTTGAGTGGAAAGTTTGTCCTTTTGGACTTACTGGATCTCCTGCCACCTTCCAGAGGTATATAAACTGGGTCCTTAGAGAGTATTTGGACAACTTCTGCTCAGCTTACGTGGATGATATCCTTATATTCACCTCGGGAACACTTCAAGACCATAGAGAGAAGGAAGCTAAGGTACTAACAAGCCTACAGGAAAATGGTTTACACTTAGATATCTCAAAGTGCGAATTTGAGACCAAAAAGACTAAGTATCTCGGCTATGTGATAGAAGCAGGAACTGGCATCAAGATGGATCCAACTAAGGTGCAAGCAATAACAGAATGGAAGTCACCTACTAGTGTTAGATCGGTAAGGTCATTTCTAGGATTTGCAAATTACTATAGGCTTTTCATCAAGGACTTTGCAAAGCTTGTCAGACCTTTGACAAATCTAACCAGGAAGGATCAAAAGTTTGAATGGACAAAAGATTGTGAGGACTCCTTTCAACATATCAAGAATCTTTTCAAGGAAGAACCAGTTCTAGCTACTTTTAATCCAGATCTAGAGACACAATTAGAGCCCGACTCATCAGGATGGGCTATTGGTGGTACCTTAACACAACTTGATCCAGTATCAAAACTATGGAGACCAGTTGCATTTTATTCAGCAAAACATCTCCCAGCAGAGTGCAATTATGATATTCATGACAAGGAGCTCTTAGCCATCATTAAATGCATCAAGGAATGGAATAGCGAGCTTAGAGGTCTAAAGAAGCCCTTTACCATTCTTACAGACCATAAAAACCTGGAGCCATTTGAAAGAAAGAAGGTATTAAATGAAAGACAAATTAGGTGGATGGAAGTACTTGCTCCTCTAAACTTCAAACTAAAACATAGACCAGGGAAGGCAAGCGTTGTACCTGACGCACTATCTAGAAGAGAGCAAGATATACCAAAGGATGCTTCAGATTCTAGGATTGCTGCTAGGGAAAACATCCTTCTAGCACCTCAACTTTGGATTAAGTCTATGGTCACTACTAACTTACCTTGCCCATTTCAAGATGACGCAGACCTTTG